TAATAAAACTAAAAACAATGAATAAACAAAAAAGTTGAGTTGAATCTGCACCCACAGGGAAGGATGAACATGATATATCATTTACAGATGAAAGCCAATTACAGACTAGTAGATGTGACATGGGGCCATGTTGCATTAAAAATAAATTAGTGCATATAGACACACATGTATGAACAGATTTATGTGTAATCAGAGGGCAGTATCTCCTAGTGTGCGAGACTCCTAGCAGTAGTTACCCCTGAGGAGTAGGATTAGAGATGTGGAAACTCTCACTTCTTACTTTATAAATTTGCAGTGGTGGAATTGCGAGATGTTCCTTTTTTGTATTTTTCAGTATTTTTTCCCAAAAATGTAAATTTTAAAAAGTTACAAACTTTCGAAAACATCTCCAGCCTGGCCATGACCAGCTGTTTCTTTTCTGTGGCTTCTCTCAGCTGGTGGTCTGAGGCTAGCGCTCAAGGGGCGCTCAGGAGTCCCTGATTCTGAGAGAGTACTGATGGAACATGGGGCCCAGCTTTATAAATACTCCCCTTCTTAATCTTTTCTTGCGGATGTTCCTCCTCCTTTCTTGGTGAAAAGGTTGCAAAGCTTTTCTTATGAGAAGCAGTCTTGTGGCTCCCGCCAGCAATCTTCAGTCCTTGTTTTCTTTCCCAGAAAAAGGGAGGAGGGAGAGCTAGAGGAATTGCTGTTCATGGACAGCTCAGAAACTGGTCCCAGAAAATAGTTTGGGCTTTACTCTCAACCATCGTTTGTTTACTTTACCTGCGCAGAAGTGCTTTACAGCTGCCTAGGAAGCAGGGAGGCAGGACCTATTAGCCCCTTTAATAATTACAGAAGTAGATTCAGAGAGGTTAAGCAGCCTGCACATTGTAACACAGCAGTTACCGGCAGGGATGAAAACTTGACCCTGCTGCTTTTTTTTTTTTTAAGATTTTATTTATGTACTCATTTGAGAGAAAGAGAGAGAGCATGCAAGCAATGGCGAGGGGCAGACAGAGAGGGAGAGAGAG